TGTGTGAATGAAAACGTACTTGAGTTTTTATGCTTGCCTTGTTGAAGGTAACAAACTAATCAATGAGAGATGAGTAGGGACAGTGAGACCCTAATTCTCTGCAGTGAACTATCATGGGAAGAAACGGACAGAAACAAGTAAATGATTTGTTCGTAAATAAATCAGTACCCCTATAATTGCTTGGAGAAATGTAAAAAGGGATTAAAGGTTCCAGGAATTGATTGATGCCTGCGTTTTCCTGCACGTCCTCATTCGTTTTTGCTTGTCTTTTGTTCTGTGAGATAAATGATCCCGTGAACAATCCAGCTAGCTGAAACCAAGTCAGGTGAATTTAGCAGTTATGCTGCTGGTGTTCCGGCGTTGTGTGGTGGAGTAACACCGTTGGTTGTGCTCAAAGCCAGAGGTCAGCCAGCGAAGCTGGTTTAGAGAAGTAGGACACTGCAAGTTTGGAATTCCTTTCAGGGCGGGTCATGTAGCCGTTCCTGGTCAGTAAGTCGATATACAAAGAAAGAGGGTCTTTGAAGTGTTACCAGTTGGATGGATTAAATTACAGCCAAGTGTAGGTAATGTCTTTTACATTTTATCCTTCTTTTCCATTATGCTCTTTTCTTATCGAGGAATCGATTAGAACCATAAGATTTTCTGAACGTGAAAACATTTTCAATAATGGGTGTGAATATTCTTGTAGATGCTTTGCCAAGATACTGTATCACAGATTTGTTCGCTCCCAAACTTCCAAGGGATTTAGACGTTTGTTTACGGAAAATGAAGCGCCTGGTACGACGACCGATGGGGAATATGCGAATAATAAACAGGAAACAGTCTCGATCAAGCAACACAGAAGATATCCTGTATTGTTAGATAACTTAACGGTACTAGATAGTGCAAACAAAACATTGATATGTGTTCTGGTCCGTTTTTCAAGATGATTCATTGGTAGTCCATTCTTACACAATTCACAGGATTTATCGATCGTCTGCAGTCACGCACTTGGTACTCAGTTTACGACTTGGACACACCATGTCTTGTTGGCTATTGATTTTCTAGATAAATGAGAATTCTAGTTAAACCGAAACCGGAGATTCAGCTTGGTTTCGAAGTAAGTTTGCATTAAATTACTGAGCGTAGTTTCGCATAATCAAGGGCTACTGTGCATGTGATTAAATATAGGTTCACAATGATTCTTGGTTGAATCAGACTCAAGTCAGACACACTGGGCTTCGTTCGATAACCACCAAGAGTTAGCCACACTTTTTTCTAAACGGTTGTACGTGAAAGGGAGAGTCACGTTATATTTATGCACCAGGCTGAGGCCAGAAAATAGCTGTAAGCTAAACCACATTCAACGAAACGAGTTACTTTCTATCAGTATGTGACCTGTCCTGTGGGTAAAAAATCCCAAATGTGGCAAGAACACTATAGAGTGCATCTGATAACTGCCAGTAAGTTTTGTATTGAAGCTAATTGGATAAGGTAGGCCCGTTTCCTGACAACGCTTAGTCCCACGAAGTTTTCAGCCATCTTATTGGATTCTCTGATGAGTGTGTGTCAACCTTTATCGGTTAATTTCTACCGCGAAAACCGGAAAACTAAACTATAACATGCACACATGCACCATATCATTCACAACGAAGTTAATGGTGGACGTAATACACTACTCATAAGGTTACTGAAAATTCGTCGACAGCCCACGACCGGTTTCGCCCTTCCTGGGGCTCATCAGATGGGCACAGTCTCCGATTTCCGTCAACCTTATGTTCTATTTGAACCCAAATTGAACGAAACTAGCGAAATACACTCATTTGCCAAATAATTTAGATTTAACGGGGGACTCACCTGGAACCCAGATGAATCTCTTTTTTATGCTGCTTTTGAACAACTGAATGTGCTGCACCAGGCCACCTCATGTTTTAATGGGTGCGATATTCGAGATACATGTATATATGTACTACACCACTCATAAGGCTGCTGAGTTTAATGATACTTTCTGTTTGGTTCTAAGAACTAGGACCAAAAACGAACGAACTGCCAGGGCAATATTTTTTGAAATTACTTGTTTCTGTGTAAAATATGTTAGAATATTTCGTAGGCTACTATGATACTACTTTCACAAGTTATAAGTAAACAGGCCTGACAACACTGATAGCCAAATTCTCGTTGCCGTTGCATACCGCCCTTTTCTTACACAAGGCGCTTTGGTAGTCCGCTGTATTGTTCTGATTAGTAATTCTGATTTGGCTGACTAGGCAAACTGCATGTTTAAACCTGACATGTCTTTGGGAGCTGGTAGCATCGTTCTGATGGTGACGGTCTTCTCCAGCTGACTAAGGCAATTTACTAAGCTATTCAGTAGCTATAATGATTGTATTTGATCAGAATTCTGAGAACAAGTGTATATAGAAAGGCCAAACGTCGCGAATGTGCTTCAAAGGTTTAAGACACGATTCCCTGCTACACTGTCATATAACGCCCTCGGTTTTTTACAGCAGATTTCCAAATCAATTGCACAAATCCGTCTCAAACTACGTTCGGGTTACATTATTCTTATATTTAATTAGGAAACTATTTCAATGACTAAAGATGAAAAGATATAAGCAATCTAATAAAACGTTGACAATGGAGCTTCCGCGGTGTTGGGTGTTTCAGTGGCCACACGAATGGGTCAACTAGAGCAATGGTTTCTTTGGTCAGGTAACCTCTGCTGTTAAACAATCCTGTGATGGTACTTCGACCGATCAAACTGCACTTGTATCCGTCTTAAAAGACAGTCACCGGGAAATGCCGGGCCTCAAAGGACATGTCCTCAATGTTTCAACGATTAGGTCCCTCCCAAAACGACCATGCTTCACAAAAGGTTATTTCCAGCAAGTCTCTCAGGACAACCATTGCTACAGTAGCAATCTAGAGTGATTTTCCACATGGCGTAGTATCGCCTGGAGAGAACCGACACTCACAGATGAAATTGGAAGCTTCTGTTACGTTAGAATTGGTATGGGAATATAGAAGACATGATAAACACTTGGAAACAATATTCTATTCTCTAACACCGCTATGAGTTTGATTGCTCGGTTTGATATCCACGTGTGTCTCAGGCGAATGTTTTATTCCGGATTTGTCACAACATACCGTCAAGTTTGGGAGCTATTACGGTCATTTATTGGACTAGTTAAACACAATAGGCAATTCAGTTTAACTGGAGCATCAAAAATTATACTTTCTCAGCTAAAACGTAGCTGTTTCAGAGAGATGGAAAAAAATCAAGCTTTGTCTCACCTTGCCCGCTGATTGGGTGTTTCATATTCGGCTTGGTAAGATCAGTTTGTATGAATCGCGCCTAATGTCTATGGTTAAACTACACACCTCAGAGACTGACTAGAGTTTGCATGAATACGCCTTTGTAGGTTGCACCTAACGAATTTAGCCACGTTGTACCGCAGACTGAATGAAAAACCGGCGCGCCAAATAAGAATATTGCACGTTTAGAGATGCTTCTGGGATCCCTTTCGGGAAAGGACTGAAGTAATTACATGACTGGGGGGATCAGCTGGTCAGAACGAGGGATGTAGGAAGTGTCCCAAGAGGCAAGCATTGATAACCGTAAATCACCGATTACCTCCTCCTTTTCTTGACCTTGTACATGAACTAATCTAGTCTACATACAATGGTGTTTGGGTATCCACCTGTGAAAACCCACCATCGAATGCACTACACACTATCTTGAGTTGACCTACGTTGTCTCCCGTCAGCCACGTCACAGCTGCTTCGTTACCGAACACCAGCTGCAGTCAACTACCCCGTGTTCTCAAGCGCTGGCAAGAGAAAGCCAAAATCCTAATAGAAAATCTACTTGTCATCTGAAATTGTTTAATCTAAATATGAATTTCTTCCTGTGGTGGGACCACCCCAGGCTCAAGACCCGAGGAGCACTGTACAACCGTTTCATTCTTACTCAGAACAGTGTGCACAATGCTCAAGGGATTTTTGAACCCGCGACCTCTGGGCTAGTAGTTTGAACAATCAACCGTTCGGTCACGAGCGGTTTGGCATTTGTGACCGAAGGCACCGGAGATTCATGCGGATGTCTCTAAAAGTATCAGTTAGAGAATCATTTATTTAATTACAGCAGCCACACAGACTGGGTCAGTGGCTTGGACCAGGAAGGTCAAGAATGGCGAACTGAACGTTTGGTTAAGCTATGCACTTACCTATGTAACGGTGATACTACTGATGGGAGGGCATGCGAGTAGTATGTTTTCTCGTAACTCCGCTCTGCCTCTGTTGAAAAGTGAACAAGATGCATATGAGAGTTTTGATTCTTTGTCTAGTAGTCTGTAACTGTTAAGTTGGCATTTCCTAATAAATAATTCCGCAACCAAGGCCTTGTTCCTTTCGCCGATATAAACCTCCCAGGATTGATCTCATTTGTTGTGATAACACGCATTTGGTGAAAGAAACTTTTCAACTGTACGTTGCCTCTGATAGGTCTTAAAGAATGCATATTTGTACTTCTTTATAGCTGTCAAATACTTGACTTCATTAGTTGCCATGCTTGAATTCCTTATGCCACGCGCTGAATGTTGTAACATCCAAGCTGTTGGAGCTGCATTGGCCCCCACAACAATCTTTGAGCCAGTTAGGTAAGTGTGATCTGTACGCCCCTATGAGTACACAGTAGCATAGACCGGTTGAGGTATAACAAAGATTCTAAAAACACGTCATTGAGTCATGACTCCAAGACTGACTAGAAATGAACACTTTAGCTAGTAGTGGGTATGTAACCATCACTTTTTGATTTCCTTACTGACGGAACACTTAGCACCTGGGGAAACTTTAGTTCCTGTTTGTCCTCCAAGTGTTCCTTGTAGGAAGGGTTCATTGTATTTTGAGATAGTACTCATTATTTGTTTCACCAGGCCATTCCGAATGGGAATGTTAATTAACCGCCCAACAACACCCATAATGACTGGCGAAAACTTTGTAGAGGCTCAAGATATACCAGAATTTATTTCAAAAAGCAGGATGTTTCGCAGGGTTAGATTGGTCAAAAGCACAGTGACTACATCCATCACATTTCGCTGAAGTTCGTTGATTATTGTGGCTGACTATGGTCAATCGGTCAGAAGATTTTAGCACTGTTACGATACGTGTGCATTGGGAAAAAGAGTTTGGAAAAATCGAACGAAATACCTACATAATGGAAGCTGGTTTTACATTGTTTCGGGTATAGAAGAGTGAGTGAGAATTATGATACAAAAAGTGGGCTGAATGTGTAGTTTTTCATCGGGGTAAACAAGGGACACAGAGTAGCAATTCGATGTGCTTCTTAGTGTAACAGATTATGTTTTTCATACAAAAGTCTGAGTTTGTATACATTATGCTTTCGCTCACCTTTAAATCTAGAAGAATGGGACAGAGCGCAGTCGAGGTAGAGTAAACGTGTCACAGTGTAAATAGCAGTACACAAGTGACCTGTCAATTAGCGCTTGTTTCCAGGGGGACCAAGGGGGCTTATAGACACTGGTAAACGATTTCAGTCTGTCTAGAGACTTGCAGCTTCAAGTGCGTTAGTAACAGAAGTTTGATTGTCATTGTGAGTGGTTTGTGCACTGTTCAAGGCTGTATCCGTTCGAAGTTTAGAATCGATCATTAAAGGAGTATGTTCAGTGGTCGACAGGGTGACTCGCTCGCTCGGTTTATTCAGCCGTGTTGCTGAATAGACTCCAAGTCTGGGTTGTTGTTTATACTGTCCGTGTGGTAAATGGGATGCCCGAGAAATAGATGGGCTTGCCAACATCGATAGATGGCTTCCGTTCTGTACAGGGTCGCCATCAGCTGTTCCGAAACCGTTCCCAAGCACATGAAACGATGCTCCCATCGGGGACTGTCGAAGTGAAGAGTTAGTAGGGTTGCCCTCTCCCGGTTTCGGCATCGTACTGTGGTTGAGGAACTCACTGCTAGATGATATAACATGTTTTGGAGTGTGCGTCCTTCGCGTTGGAGTCATCGTTGATTCACTTTTCTCCGAATTCTTGGTACTTTCGTCAGACTTCTGCGAAAAAGACGAAAAACAAACGTCACCAAATCACTGGAGTCGATTTATTACCATTTATCGAACTGGTGGCTGTCTGTCTATGAACCATTTTATCATCCACATGGATTTTCGCCATCACCATTTTAGAACACAACAAAACTTTCTAGAGGTAAGTGAACAATAATACATTGTTTTGCCTATACTCGGTGCAGCGACCACCTGTCTGGCAAGGCCAATGCTTCTGTTATCTACTTGCTCTCATCTTCTCTTGCCGGACCAGTCTCACTCTAACCCAGAATTAAGGTAGCTTTGACTCAGGTGGTATTCATGTCACACCTCTGAGTTGCTGTTCTTCACCATGAGCAACAGAAGGTCAACCTTTGAGAGGCAGACAGACGAGGTTAAAGTGCACAAGTGCGATCAAACTGACCTCTCCCTTATACGACCTTGTCAATATACTGACCTCATCCGCATGCCGGAAGGCCGTCTGCTTCTCAGAGCGCTTTCCTCCTAGTTCCTTACTGAGTGGAAGCGACCGACAGGTAAACAGTGCATGACTCGGCGAAGAACTATAAAAATACTAACCAGTAAAATTGCGTAGGGTCGATAACTGCCACCTCCCTGGTTGGGAACCCCAGGACTCAACTCACCAATGGTTAATGACACTTGCAGAAATAGCAGTCAGTGGCACTCATGCATCAAGGATAGCACCTCGATGAATAGCTACTCAGTTCTCGAACTAAGTTAACATACTACTGACTACAAGGCTTGGCAGTACGTCTCATACTCTCCCACTTTCTGGTGATCGAAGCTGTACCAGCTGGAACCAATGTGCCTATGTATAGCTGATAAATTGATTGATTGATTGATTGATTGATATGGTGATAAGTGAGACTAATCTCCTGTCAAAACAAAAATTTATTGATTTATTTCTCATCACGTGATCCTACCAGAATAGTAGTCAGTTTGAAGAGAGTCGTTTGAGGGGACATTATATTTCTTACTCCAGGCTGTTGCTCCAACACTAAAGTTTGCAGTGCCCCTGTCTCTCAATTTTGTCTCGATTGACATGGCTGCACTAGTGAAACAGGCCCGTTTTTTATCTGGTTAAACTAAACACTAAGTTATTAGTCTTCAGTAACTTCGGCCATGTTAACGATTTTTTTTGCCATGTTCACACGTAAACCACCAAGTCTCTCATGCAACCTTTGAAGGCATTCTGTCAAATTCATGAATCTGGGTGCCTGATGAATGCGTAAAACAACCGCGTGGGTCGCGTATGGCGTTTTTTTTCCAAAAAGGCGAACACCCTATTCATAGAGGCCCTGAAATAGATCATCTTAGATTAGGGGCTTGCTGAGGCCAGAAAAACTGCTGGATATTATCTGGTAAACGTTATGGTGTACTATGAAGAAAATCCTATACACAATGGTTCAGTTAGTATGTCTGTCATCAATCAACGATTAGCTGTTCCACGCTTATCCCTTTCTTCCCCTCAGAACCACATCTCCGAAGCGGCTGACAGACCATATTTTCAATCGAATTAGAAAGGAAACACCAGGGCTGCTAGAAAGAGAATGGATCTTTCGGGAGGGGGGATGTCTTCTACCTTGTCCCGGACAGGGTAGCTTGTAAGGATACTTGTTTGCTGACATTGTACTCGATTCAGTCATAATTGACTCATCAGCTTCTGTAAGATGAACAGAAAAACATTTTGGGCACAGTCATTCTGTGATGGTGACAAAACAGCCAGAACTCTTTAAACAGATTGAAGTTCTCCAAACTTGAAGACTGGTTACGTGCTGACTTTAGTGCTGAGAAGTAACTGCTTTGTACATATGGATGTATCAGTTGTGGCCATCTTTCTATGTCCTAATCAGCACTTACAGTAGTGACGCGTTGTAAGAATAAAAAAACTTCTATGACTGTTTACTCAGCCACTCTTGTTTAACCTACAATGAAGCCGTCTTGCACTTTAAGAACACCTACGTACCTACATGTTTCGTCGGAACCCTGTATCTTGTTGATTTATTTACATACGGTTGGTAACCATGGTGAAAGTCGCGTCTAGCAAGGGTAGATTGCTCACCAATGACATGATCAGTGTCTCGTTTTTGACAAAACCGAATCTTGTGCCAATCTTGACGATACATGGACGTTTGGTTTGAATTTATATGCCCTGTAGTCTGAAGCATACAGCAAATTGGACGTTAGAAAATCGTATTCTTCGATCGACCACCCAGCCACAGACTGTAGTAATCCTATACCGATATAGTTGAAATCACGCACCATGTTATCGTTCATTCCAAAAATAATACTTGTCCGTTGCAGTTTGGGAGCACAAGAGTGCATCAAAAGCAAGTTTTAGCAAGAATTCAGTTTTGTCTGGAGTATACACTCAGCTCAACTTGAAAGCTTTGTAAAAGAGTGTATTAGGTTCACACGCTGTTGGATAGGGAGTGACAAATCATTTGAGAGTGGTCCAATTCGTAATGAAAAAAAACCCGGGACTTTCCAACCACATTCTGATGAGTTGTTGATTCCTGCGCACCTGATTGTCGAGGTGGTATTTTCCGGAATAGATCTGGAAGGAATCAGGCGATACGAGTGCCCGAGTCGTATGTTCATCCAGCACCCTTAGACCAAAGTGTGGTGGGTGATGTTGTACACCCTTAGTGCTATTTTTTTAATTTTATTGGAGAAGACCTTTGCATGAGTTATGTATAATGTTGTCTTATTCCCCCCCCCCCTTCAGTTTTGCAAACTCGCTATCGCCGAACACAGTCAGACAGTGCCTGTGGGAAAAGTTGACCAGGAAGAAAATGCTTTTATCGACGCTCGACCAAATGATAAATTTCCTTATCCTGCTGTCAGTTTGTGGCTCCAGATTGTGATATCATCATCTGCTGCTGCTGCAGTTTTCAGAGACTTGTTTTCGCTCATCGTTGTGGTTGTATTGATATGGATCCGAGCATGTACACAACAATCTGTGATCTTAGTCTGCGTTCTTATGATAAGTGTGAGTTATTAAAACGCTGCCCAAAAATCGTGTCAACGGAAAACAGATAGCTACCAGAGCGACAACGAACTTTTGCTGAGATACATTTGTATGACAGGCATTTTCATCGGGAATTTCTGAATTAATTTACCAAACCTCGGAAAAGAGCCACTACTAAAAACGTTAAAAATGGATCAAAGTGCTCACCAACAGACGGTGTCGAACGCTGGCGTGCATATAAAGATAGGTTGAGAGCTGGTTCCTTCTTTTAGGGGCTATGGAGGTGAAAGTAGCCGCTCTGATGGAAACCTAATCTCTTCTCACTTCAGGAAAGGTTTGCTATCACATTAGGCTCTTGGTAAGAGAAAGCTTCAGTATCTGCTCCAGTCGATGGTTTCAGACCTTAACGCTGTACGCTTTCTCGTCATGCAGCTTACTCCTAACCCAATAGGATCGAAGCCGGTAGTGGGCCGTATTTTCCATAATAGAGCAGTGTGGAATCCAATATGTCAGCGGCTTTGGACTAATAACATGACTAATGTATTGTGTTACTAATCACTCACTTTGCAGCGGACTGTAACCACGTAACCGAAATTTCCAGAGCCCCACAGATGATGCTGGAGAGTATTAATACCTACTGAGCACTTACATTTAGATATCTACGAAAGAATGTGTAAGTAGAGGCCTTCTGGTTTGCTTCTCCTAGCAACTGCAAGGACCGGATTGTCTAGCAATACTATCAGCTGTATTTTAGACAACTGAACCTCACCTAAAAATGAAAACATGTACGGAAAGGTATGCATCGACTGCTATTGATTACCTCTAAAGTACTGGCTATCTCGGACTTATCCACGCTGTTTTCACGCGAGATATGTTCTGGTGCTTTCGAGGTCTCTGCTTCATGAGAAACTGTGACCGGTTGAACAGGGCTTGATTCGTCCATGCATAACTGGCCTTCCCCACTTTCGCGTGTTTCAGGGATGACGGCGTTCTTGCACATTGCAGATAAGTTTGATTCACTGGGTGAGTGTAGCTGGGGAGCTACTGTATACTCAACTTTTCGACTCTTGTTTTTATCTTCTGTCTCACTGTGTGTCTGATTCAAATTTGGTCCAACCGTCATTGGCACATTGAGTGTTAGATTTTGTCGGTGCTCCTGTTGCTGAAGCGGATGCAGCTGCATGCGTTGCCTCATTGGATGTCTTGGTGCTTGTATTGGGTTTTGCGAAGGATGTGGAGGATAATAGACAGGCTGAACTTGATATTGTGTGATCATAGGATAGGAGTGCATCGACTGAGTAAATTGCTGGTAACCCATTCCTGGAGGTCGCTGCATATACTGCTGCTGATGTGGCTGCATTTGCGGTTGAGACTCCTGTGAACTAACGTATCCAACTCCGTAAAGCATATTTCCCGTCGGTTGCGCTGGATGGGGATAAAAGGGCGTGATTTGTTGAAGCATTGGTGTTCGCGGTCTGCCGTTGAGTGCGCTGGCAATGGAAGCCTTGAGTGCTGGATTTCTGTGCGCAACAGGTTCTCGTGGTGGTAACTGAAGATGCGTGTGACTGTCTTGTCTCGATATCCCACCTGAATTTGGGCGTAGAAAATTGCCAAATGTTTTACCACCACTCCCAGGTCGACATGCTGAGCCTACCTCTTTTGCATGAAGTGGAGAACGTTGCAAAGGATGAGGTCGATGCGACACAGGAAGTTGTTGCGAGCAAGGCATCGTCAGTAAAGGGATCTCAAATTGATGTAAGCTTGCGGTTGGAGTCAGCTAGTCATGTCAGACAAACAAAACAGAATTTAACCAGATATTGTCCACTTGCTAAGCAAAATGAGTTCATCTAAATGCTGTTGGGTACTGTATAAAAGGCCTGCTCCATCAGAAACGCCACAAAGATTTTTTGGTCAAGTAATTTGTTAACATATGCATAAACAGACCCTTGTTCGACGCAGAACAAGAAGCAAATAGTCGGATCTGCGACCTGGATAACGGCCAGTGAAGAGGAAGAAGAGGAGAATGGGGACAACTTATACGGGAAAATTTTATAGGAACTAGTTCAGTCCGCACACAATTGTGCGTGCCTGTCAAAGGGTCTTCATTCGGGCAACGAAAAATTTTTTCTTTCAGACCGGTTTGAATTCGGTATGGCAGTATCGATGGCTGTATCACTTTGCAGCAGACATTTTAGCCGCTGAGTTTTTGGGACTGCTAGCTCATCTGTTTTCAAATGAACTGGAATTACCAGAAGTAGATATCGCCTTGGTGGGTTTGACGAAACCCGTAAGAAGTTCAACGTCAGGTGAAGCTGGTCCCCAAGAAGTGCGATACGATTTTGATCCCATACGAACTTATACACTAAAATCCTCCTCCTGTCCTGGCGCAATTATTCAAGTGAGTTCATACCAAAGGAAAGGAAGCACTGTACGCGGATTTCGCTCTTATTAGTGCTCATCGGAACTGCCTATCCTTCGTGGTGCTGGAGTTTGAACTCCGAATGTGATAATTCGTTTGCATTCAACGTGCACTAGTGGAGCAGTGGGAACACGCTTGCCTCGTGTGTCAGATGTTCCTAGTTCAAGTCCCGACAGGGCCAAGGATATACAGTGCTGAGTCCTTAGACGAGCAAAACTCGGGTTCAGTGCTACCTGTCTTGCGCGGACTCATCAGATTAAATGCGCCAGGATAGGAGGATGTGCAATTAGAGAGGCATGGAGATTAAGACCTCGGTTCCATTGTAATGGGTTTTGATCACAGAAGCCATTGGAAGGAAAGTAACCGTCTAATGAAATGAACACTTTTGTTTCTTGAGGGTACTATCACTTCCATAGAAATGCTTAGGAATTCGAGACGGTGAGATACTGTTTGACCAACTGGTGGGTAGCGGTTAGCCAAGAATATGTTGGACGGCCATAGAGAAACTAATCGGGCACTCTACTCAAGGGACATTTCAGAGAATGGAATTTCAGCTTTTACGATTCATCACCATCATCGCCTTCAGCTGTAAAAACTGCGCACTTGTTGTACAGTGGTTATAACTGCCACAATTCCGTTCACCAATCATTCGGGGAGTTAGAGATAGGCAGCCGCGCTTTGGAGGCCGTGACTGATATAACTGATGTGTCAATGCAGAAATGTCAGAGGAATTTTCATTAGAGAGATCGGAAAAGGCAACAGCTTGGAGGTATACTTGCCACTGAGTGACTGGGTCGCAACTGACATCGCCTTCACTGTAAAAACTGCGCACTTGTTGTACAGTGGTTATAACTGCCACAATTCCGTTCACCAATCATTCGGGGAGTTAGAGATAGGCAGCCGCGCTTTGGAGGCCGTGACTGATATAACTGATGTGTCAATGCAGAAATGTCAGAGGAATTTTCATTAGAGAGATCGGAAAAGGCAACAGCTTGGAGGTATACTTGCCACTGAGTGACTGGGTCGCAACTGACATTTTCCCTCACGACTGATTCGTCCAGTCTCGGGGTCCTCATCTAGATCGGCCGTCCAGAAGTAACTCACCACGCGTTTTGTTCCAGTTATTGTCAGCTAGGTCAAACGGGATTTGAAAGCCAGGATATATTGCTCCTCCAAAACTAACCACCTACTCCGTGAATGTCACTTTTGGATCACTAGTTACTATCTTTTAAGAAAATAGAAGCAACAATGGTTAGTATGTGAGTGAAAACAAAAAAGCAAGCCTGTTCAACACTAGAAGAATTAAGTGAAGCAAACAATCCAGTAGCTGAAGCGTATTATACTACCGGACAGTAATGAGTAGAAACAGATAATTTCATGAAAACACTAATTGGCGTACCTCACCAGTGGAACTGCAATTATTTGGTAAGTAGCGGGATCCGAATACGGCCGAATGCAGACTTTCGCCATCGCCGCTTTCCGTGCCAGGTTTGCCTAGCAGATGCCCGATAGGTTGCCCAACTACAGAAGCTGCCCTTGATGAGGGCCGTGGTAGGCCATACGGCATATTCAAGTTGGTGGCAGAGGAAGCATGTTGCATCAGCAAACCGATGTTTACGTTTTGCACTACCGAAGCCACCGCAGCTGCAGCCGCGGCCCTGACCGCCGCTTCCAGATTTGTCTGACTGGATGGATTCAAGCTGGAGTAGGAGGCACCGGAGACGACACTGCCCCACTGTGAGTGAGAGTGTGAATTCGATGACCTCGTTTGGACAGATAGTCGAGAACCTTGCCTTACATTTGTACTTATCGCCTCGGATCGACGTCGTTCTTGTCCTGGACCGGTCTTCAGTCCTCCGGTTACATTCTCTTGTGATGCTAAGGTTACAGAAAGCAATTGATGCGTATTTATTTCTGAACAAAAAGACAAAGCAAAGATGGAAAACAAGATCTAGCAACTCTGGGTTGCCATCCAACTGATGCACACCACACGAAGTCGCTTAACATCAGACTGTCCGTAATTCTCCTATTCGTAGGGCTCTGCCTCTGAAATACGTTTTTCTTTGCTATAGCATGTGCGAATTGTGTACAAAAGCTCTCGCCACAAAAATTGAATATCATTGCGTGTGTGCGTGTGTTAAATGGGTCTGTTAAGTTAATACTGTCTTCTCTCTTACCTCTTTTGAATACAAAAAGTTACTGTCATAACCTGTTGCCCTTCGTAAGTGACATATGATTAATGCTGTCGTACCAGACGTACATCTGGTTCGGAAGTGGCGAATATCAAGACAGAAAACGATCAAATGTGTCTAATAGACCTAACCTAACGTCACCCCATCATGTCTCTCCGTGAACATATCACGCATTCTGGGATAAAATAGTTGTAAAATGATGCTAACTAGTTTTCTGATCTCGTATGTAATTTATTTGTGAAGAAATGATCTTAAAGTAAGCGAAGCTGTAATCGTCTTATGGTTCGAGTTTTATAGCCTGAGGGACTCAGGATGTTACACTTTCTAGAGGTGTAAAGGATGTATTTCTCTTCATTTTAAACACGCACAACGACTGAGTTGGATTTTCCAGTATTGGCGTGTAAAACACCTGTTTTCAGCAACATAAACATGTCCGCTACACCTAATAAGCTAAATTCACCTGAACAGTTCGCAAGCAGACTTCTTTTCTGAGGCGTCGACTTGTCGTGGAGCAAATCCCCAGTTGCAAATCCGTTTGCATCGTGATGTTGTTGTGCTTCTTCCGTTTGTGGACCATCTTGTCGTGCTATTATCTTATCTCGTTCAGCCATTTCAAAAGTGGAGGAATCCATGTCTCCGGTAAGCTGCGTACTCGGTGTGTAAACATCTGTACTACCGCTAACAACGGATGCAGCTACAGCGGCTGAAGCTGCTCTCGCAGCAGCCAGGTATGCCTCAGTGATAATTTGGTTGCTTAACAACGTCATGTTAGTTGCCGAAGAACCGCTGTTGACTGAAAATGGGTGGCAAGGAAGACTCCCATAGTCTCCTTCGGTCATATAGGAATTGGGTGGAGATAGGTGGCTTGTCCTCTTGTCGAATGTTCCGTTCGGACTAGAAGCAGTTTGATGCATAAGTAGAGCAGCTAAAGAGGAAGACAAAGTAGGTGTAACGTTCAATGGCCACGATGAAACAGCTACTGAAAAGGCATTCGAACACATACATGCCGCGATTCATGCTGAAGTGTACTTTTAACCCTATATATAGCGCTGCCACAAAGTGAAAACAAAATGTTTCGGAAATACGAACTGCATTCAAGACAGCCTAAAAAAGTGATAAGTTTCAGTTAGTTTAGGAACTTGTGGAATTTGTACTAGTATTAATCTTGCTTACTTCGTCACTCCTCCGTTTTCACCGGACCACTGTGTCTGTTCTGTACGGAAGGGGAGTTTCCCTCTCACTAAAACTTACCTGCAATCCGTATCCATGTCTGGGCAGCGACATTCATTTACCGCATCAACGAGCGAGAGACGCATCTAAGTTATCACATCTGAATATGCAGAGTTGTTTGTGCCTGAACAGTAATCAGATTGCCCGGCACCTCGAACAACGGCCCTTTACTTGTCTGGGTTATGTCCATTTGTCAGCACGTCCCAATCTGGTATCACCACAGACGCGACCAGAGTATGCTGCAAATTCGGTATCTCTTCAGCAGGTCACAAAGACTTTAGGACATTGATTGATTGAGTGAAGAGAAGACACACAGACTCTCGCGCGTACTTTGTCTGGACAAGCTTTCGTTTGAGCAGTCGTCCCCCTGTCCTCGTGAGATAATTCTGGTGAGTCCACACCAAAGGGTGGGAAACCACTGGACTCGAGTTTCGCTCTTATTAGAGCGCATCAGAAGTGCATATCCAATGACCGTGCCGGAGTTTGAACTCCGCACATCTGACATGCAAGGCAAGCGTGTTATCCGCCAGAGCACGCTGGACGCTTCTGAATTTTCAAGTCTGAACAGTTGAACATGTTCGCGCTTGAGTGACGTGAGTGGTAAACCCGACAACCCGAACGACGATCCAGTAACACACCTTGGTTGTTTCGATCGATTGGTCCGCCAGTTAGGACTCCCCAGTCATGTAGCTCCACAGACTCTTGAAACCTCTTGGACACTTCATTTACACCAAGCAAGTAAAATTTCTGTTTTATCAACTTATATGAACTAGTAGTCGGATATTTCGCCTTTGCTGTAGTACGTTGCACTAACAGACATGAGCCTGTATGACTGTCATTGCCTCCTGTCACCCTAGTCAACGAGTATTGTCTCGTACCCTCTAACAGAATGCGAATTAAGTTTACGGGATGACTAGTCGGATACTAACCCAACCGAGGTTTCAGAAGTCAAGGGTGATGTTCGACCTCCTGATAATCCTGCTGTTTTTAAACGGTGATTGTGTCGCTTGACACTGGTACATGTCAGAAGCTCAACCGGCTGCGGGAGAACTACCGTTCGTATAAAGGGAACATTTGGACACGCTGAGTGTTCGAAACAACCGCGAGGGGGGGGGGTAAACTGATCTGCTATTGCTTCAGTGAGTGACGCAGCAAAAACAAGAAATGCAACACAACGTGACTGATGTGAAATTGTTAGGCTATTTCTTTTGTTGCGAAATACTGGTTAGAAACACCCCTAACAACTTTTTCCCTGCTGAATTTACCGAAACATGTGATGCAGCGAGCTCATGTGAGGACTATGTTGTTTATTTATTTACGAGCTGCGGCAACTGTGTACCCTCAGTTCCGTTCCTTGATGGTATTTTCGGAGCTGCGCCATGGCTGCAATGAAGACAAATGAATCATGAAATGAAAAATCACATTAACGTGCTTCTGTTCGCTCGCCCGAAACAAGTAATTAACCCTTTTAATCTAATTACTGTAATGCTGTAAAGCTTTGAACAGTCTCCAAGCTTTGCTCTCCGTCGACTATCGCCAGCATCAACATGGACGAGATATAGAAAGCGTCCAGCTGTAGAAACCTTTCGATGCCACCCGAACAAAGCGTCAGGGCTAGGAGACTGCCCAAGACTAGACAGGGGAAACCGTGACGCATGTGTCGGGTTCGAACCACGGACTTTTCGGTTTGTAGATTTTCACTGAAACCACTGAGATATCTCACAGTGAAGGAAAAGTTCCATCCGATATGCGGTATGTGTCACCCCAGTAGAACTATTAGGAGGTTGTTATGTGCCAAGTCCAATCATTTTCGCGCCGAACTCTTCTCAATTTTGTTTTCCTGGCAATTGATGATGAAACCCAATAGACATTTCATGAAAAGTGCGTGTCCAAACAGAAAGTGATTTTTATTCCGAAAGGGTGGATAAGTACTGTAGCTCAGTGGTTGGAGTGCATGTTTACTAACCGGAAGGTCCGTGGTTCGAACCTGACCTCTGTCTTTCGACTTCCCCTGTTTGGACCTAGGCAACCTGGCAGTATCCCAGTCCTTGTGCTTTCTTCTAGTGGCATGTTAGTTGAGCACCGAACGATTCAAACTGCATGTTGATTGCAGGTGGATAACTTCAATAATAGTAATCTCACGAACAAAATTCTTCAGTATTATCGGACTGTCTGCAAGAATGACGACTAATAGGCTGCATTAGCTTATTTAGAATTGCGTGATGATCAACTACTACTACAACAACTACTACAAAATACATCTGTCGGCATGCAGCACACATCACCTGTATTAGGATAGCTTTCGTTTGAGCAGTCGTCCCCCTGTCCTCGTGAGATAATTCTGGTGAGTCCACACCAAAGGGTGGGAAACCACTGGACTCGAGTTTCGCTCTTATTAGAGCGCATCAGAAGTGCATATCCAATGACCGTGCCGGGGTTTGAACTCCACACATCTGACTTGGAAGGCGAGCGTGTTACCATTACTCCAATGTCTCACATTGGAGCCGTTCTACATCCGAACAGGTGGACGTGTGAACGCTTGAGCGATGTTACTGGTGTGTCCGGCTCCCCATCGAATGACGACCTAGTAACTATCCTGGTTGTGAGTGAGTCAGTGGTGTTGCGACCCCAATGATGACCGGTTTTTAAGATCATCTACACCTTTGTAATGAGCTACTCATAAGGTTGCTGAAAATCCGTCGACAGCCCACGACCGGTTTCGCCCTTTTTGGGGCTCATCAGGTAGGCGCAGTTCCCGAGTTTCGGTCAACCTTGTGTTCTACTTCGAACCAAATTGCACGAAATTAGCGAATATATACTCATTTGCAAACTAATTTGTTTTTTTCGAGAGACTCACCTGGAATCCAG